CCCCGGGAATTCAGATGGAGGGAAAGAAAGAAATTAATCAGAGCAAGCGAAACACAGAGAAAAAATCCGAAATAAAAGAGTGGTGGCAAAGGGGTGACAAGGACAGGGCGAGAGGGGACACACACTCCACAAAAATCCCTTTTTCTGCCAGGAATAGGGTGGGAAAGGGATCCACTACCTTTCCTACACCCCAAAACCCCCCCAGAGGATGAAAAACCTGGCCAAGCCCTTTTATCCCCATTTCCCCTGGATTTTTGGGGCATTTTCACCCCCAAAAAGAGATTTTGGAGGCTCCTGGCGATGGATGTGAAAACTGGGAAGGAATTTCACAGCCACTGTGAGTATCATCTCCGAGGCATGAGAAAAGCAGGGAAACAAAAAACCAATAAAAACCATGGAATGTGAGTGGAAAATCCTTCGGAAATTCACTTCATTCCTTTGTTTTGATAATTGAGGAGGGGATGAATTATTTATGCTGCGTTTTGCAACCTGCCAGGAAAATCTGCGGGAATCTCCTTCCTCTCCCTAGTGACACCTGAAAGGTGAAAATTTGGGAATTTTAGGGGGAAAAGAGAAAGGAGGAGCCAAAAATGGCTCCTTCGGTTTTCCAGGGAGAGTGGAGCTCTCCAATCCTCTCCTGGGGATTTTGGGGGGAAGGCCGGGGGTGCTCCCAGCTTGAGTTCCCAGCTGGGATCATGAATTCCCAGCTGGAACCATGAATTCCCAGCTGGCATAATGAATTCCCAACTGGGATAGTGAATTCCCAGCTGGCATAATGAATTCCCAGCTGGAATAATGAATTCCCAACTGGGATCGTGAATTCCCTGCTGGAACCATGAATTCCCAACTGGGATCATGAATTTCCAGCTGGAATAATGAATTCCTGACTAGAATAATGAATTCCCAGCTGGAATTCCAAAGCCTGGGAATTCCCAAGCTTTGATCTTGGCCTCACCTGCATGACCTCAGGGCTGGGACCTGCCCTGGGAACACCCAGGTTTCCCAAAGTTTGGATGGAAGAGAGTTAAAAGCTGGGAAAATCTCCCAATTTTCACTCTCCTGAGTTATTTCTCCTGGGATGGGGCAGCCAAAAATTCCCTCAAATTCCAGGAATGTGACCCTATGGGGAATCCATCCTGCCCCAAGCTCCCCATGAGCGCCAATTTCTGGGATTCTGCAGAGAATTTTA